ACANACAGCCTCTAGTGAAATTAGATGGTATGCAAACCCCAGCTGGTTCCTATAGTCTTCTGAAAAACAGCTCTTTATTATTAGTTCAAGATAGGAAAGCAAAGCTACCTGTTCAAGCTTCAGGAGCTCCTGGTTTAGTTCAGAAACCATCTAATCCAGTGACATGTTCCCGGAATGCCAATCTAACTTCAGTTATTCAAGACAATACTTCTTTCAATCCTTCCCGTGCTAGACAATTTTCAGAAATGGTAGGTTCTCATGTAGGAATTTTTACAGTTAATACTCAGCACTTGAAGACAGGTCGCAATTCATCTAAAGCACCTTCCTCTTCTTCTTCATCAGTGAAAGCTCTTGCCAAACAGAAGAAAACTTCAGAAAAGTGTAAAACTCTTACTAAATCTAAGCCTGTGATCACTGCCATACCTCCACAAACCAATCCTTCTTCAAAGACTTACATTTCTCCTTCCTCTTCACCGTTATCAGTGACTCTGAGATCTTCTAAAAAAGCTGAAAAGCAGATTATACGAAGACCTCAGAATAATCCTAAACCTCCAACTCTAAAAAAGCTTAAACCTACAAATCCACCAAAGAAGCCTGAAGCTTCACCTCCAAAGAAGCCTGATCCTTTTCAGTCCTCATCTAAACCTGAATCTTCACCTCCAAAAAAGCCAGAGTCTTCCCTATCCTCACACAAGCCTGTTCCAAACCAACTTTATAAGTGTCCAATATGTGATATAGGGTTTTCTACCAAAGTTGCTCTAGACCAGCATTCAAAGAATCCAAAGAACTCTCATTTTGAATGTTCTAAGTGTGGCAAAAGCTGCAATGCACAACTTGGTTTTTGTATCCATTGTTTTGTTGCTTCTCAAAAGAAAGAAAATAAAGATGCAGAAACAAAAGATTCTAATAATAGCATAATTTTGGTTGTCCACCCAAATACGACAACGAATTCGGAAAAAGGGTTAGAAGACAAGATCCAAGGTCCTGAAAAAGAGGCGAAAAACAAAGATCACGAAAAAACAATACAACCAAAACGGAAAAAGCAATTAAAAAAGATAAAGCTAAAGAAATGTTCAATTTGTGGAAAAATATTAAATAGTTATTATCTTGCAACTCATATGAGAACCCACAGTGGAGAAAAACCTTACAAATGTGGTGTGTGCAGTAAACATTT